ACATACATACATACATACATACATACATACATACAGTTAGGGTTATAAACTAACTGTATAGCCAGTACCCTTGCAGCCAGCTCCTCTCGCCTTCTGGGTGGCAGTGGTGTTACCTCTCTTAATATGCCTCCACCAAGGAAAAGCATTACTGTTTTCCTTCCAAGGAGGGAAAAAATGGGTGCAGGGTATCCAACCCCAGGCACCCACCCCGGCCCTCTGGGTCCACCTGGCATTGGATGCAGTGGGAGGGATGGAGGGACCCTGGCGCTCCTCGACAGTTAGGGTTATAAACTAACTGTATAGCCAGTACCCTTGCAGCCAGCTCCTCTCGCCTTCTGGGTGGCAATGGTGTTACCTCTCCTAATATGCCTGCACCAAGGAAAAGTATTACTGTTTTCCTTCCAAGGAGGGAAAAAAAGGTTGCAGGGTATCCAACCCCAGGCACCCACCCAGGCCCGCTGGGTCCACCTGGCATTGATGCAGTGGGAGGGATGGAGGGCCCCTGGCGCTCCTCTGAAGCAGCTGTCCAACTCTGCACAGACTCCACCCACTCCGCTGATGGACTTAATCAGCCTGCACAGGACCAAGGTTCTTGCCGACCTTTGGGTTCTTTCAGACTTCACTGTCATGGATTTCTAGCTTAAAACTACACATGGGACTTAATCTACACGTTGGATTCTTAGAGGAAACGCGAGGAAAGGGCGGGAACAGCATGAGCAGGGCAGAGGAACCCACACACACACACACAAAGGGAAAATTTTTGAAGACCCATCAAGCTCCTAAGCAGCAGTTTCACGTGAAGCTAGATCTGAGCCAGGACCCAGCTACCCCATGGTGGGAGCTCTGAGGCCCTGTGTCCAGCAACCGAGCGAAGATTAATGAGTTTCCGAGCTGTTTTTGGCTATGAAGAATTGAATAGAAGGCTCGGCTCAGGCCAGTTGCCTCTTCCCTGGATCTGGACCGCGCTTCTAGAGTGTGTCCAAAGCCAGCCACTAGAGACCTGAACTCTGAGTCCTATCCTCGCAGGCAGAAACCAGGTGTTTAGAAACGCCTTTTGAGAGCACAGTTCTGAGGCTTAGGCTGAAATTATCTCAGTTCCTAGTTCGCGAATCCCAAACCAGACCCAGGGTGCAGCCTAAACTCCCATAGGGATAGGGAGAACTCGCCTAGACCCAGATCCCAGACGGCTCCTGGCTGTAAGTGACTGCTTGCCGGTCATTCCCTTGCTGGGAGCCAGACTAAACCGACTCGGAAGGAGAAACATTGGTTGAGTAGAACTGTGTCTGCGTTCGTTTATCTCTGTAAAACCTCGATTTCTTGACCTATAATCTTGGTATGGCTGCGTCTGCCCTAGCCTATCTGCAGTCTAACCTTGGATTGTAGCTTTGCCTTTTAAATCTAGAAAGCAGTCTGCTGGGGTGGAGGGGAAGGTCCGGGAAGATTAACACTAAAGACTTCAGGTGGGCTGAACTGAAGAGGTGGCTGTCGTCTGGCGGCCTTCCTGAGTGGTGGCACCTCTGACCCGCCGCCCTCCACAAGGGCCCTCAGGACTACCCGCACATCACAGGCCGGGTAAAACAGCAAGAATGAACCTCCCTTCCCAGGCCTCTCTCCTTTAATACAATGTAAGAGGTACCCTGAAGTGAAAGATTTAGCGAGATTTGAGATGCTGTCCCTGGCTGAAGCCGAAGCCGAAGGTGGGGATTTAAGTAAAGAGATGGTGCCAGTGCTCTACGCAAACACTCCCCACACCAAGGAGGCCTTTGAAAACAAAACTATCCTGACCTGAGAGGAGGCTCAAGGTTGGGAGCGGCTTGCCTCCAGCCTGACACACCTGAATTGAGTCCTCAGGACCCACACGGTGGAAGGAGAGGACTGACTCCTGCAAGTATATCTATCCTCTGACCTCCACCTGAGCTCTAAATTACAGACACATGCGCCCACACCATACGAAATAATAGAAATCTTAATTTATTTAACTTTATTTTATGTGCATTGGTGTAAAGGTGCCAGATCCCCTGGAAGTGGAGTTACAGACAGTGTGAGCTGCCATGGGGTCCTGAGAACTGAACACGAGTCCTCTGGAAGAACGGCGAGTGCTCTTAATCACTGAGCCCCCCGAATTTTAAATTGTATTAAGGAAATTACTAGTTCTTCCTTCAAACTACAGCCGGGGAGTTGCCACCGGGTTCCCACCCCAGGATTGTCGGGGCACACAGAAGCCCGCCACAAAGCCCGAGGCACGTGCCGTTTTGTGAATCTGTTCGATCTGTAAAATGGGAATAATAAAGCCTACCACACGACACAGTGAGCGACAAGTTAATTCATGTAAAGCGCTTAGCAACGCCCGGCAGGAGTAAGCGCTCAAAGCCTATTGTAAGTAATAATAATGGCTCGCTCTGGGTTAGACGCTGTGGGGGTCACCGTTTGATGTCACCGCCCCATCAAGGGAGGTCCTCCTACTTCGATGTCACTGATGAAAGAAACCTAGAGACTAGCTCTAACTTGCCGGGCACTTCGAATGAACCAACCTAAAGTTGGATTCGAACCCAGGACAACTTCGCTCTTTTTCTACTTGGAAGCATTTTTGATTGGGCCGAGTCATCCAAAGCTGATCAAAAATAGCAACCAGCAGGAGCGCAGACCGGGAGTCCTGCATAGGCCCCGCCCGCACCTGAACAGAAAGGAAAGCACCAGAGGGTCAGGGCTGCTGGAGAGGGGGTCACGCGGGGGCGGGGCCGGACCCCCACGTGCGCCGCCTGCAGCCGCATAGCGAAGCCCTTTGTCGGGAGCAGCCGCGTTCGTGCCGCACTCGGCGGCTTAAAATAAAGACAATGTTCCCAGCCTCCCTGCGGCTAAATCCGGCTCGAGTGCGGGGGTGGTGAGCGAGCCGGGCGGGAGCGCTTCTCCCCGCGCTGCCTCCTTTCTTCCCTTGTGCCTCAGTTTCCCCGCCTGGTAAGGTGAGACCTAGCCAAGGTAGGCAGGAGCGCCAAAAAGCATGACCAACAACGGGAGGGACAGGGCTAGAGCCCCCTTCTGAAGCCGCACAAACTCAAGAAAGCTGCGTGGGCCAAAAGTGGGGGCCACTCAGGAGGAGGCAGGAGAAAGCTGGACACCCTCCCCTCCCGCCCACAAAATAAGTGTTTTTATTTCTAAAGGGACATGTGCAGAGGCGGTGGGAGAAAAAGGGAGACCAAGAAGATTGGGGGAAGGGGGCAAAGAGGAAGCTTGATTCAGACTCGGAAATGGATGTGGAGGCCTAACTCCCCCACTCTAAACCACGTGTACAAGCACAAGTACACGCACCCCCACTGTTCTCCCAACCCGCAAGTCGCAACCTGAGGACAGCCCAGCAGGGGGCATCCCTCCGCAGGGACTCCTTGGGCTGTGAGTTAACCCTGGGGGTTTAATGACCCCCGAGAGCGGGAGAAGGAGTTGCTTGGATCCTGCTGCCCACCCCTCAGCTGTAGTATCCAACCTAACACAGAGAGAAGGCACACTGGGTGCTTCTTGGCATCCTGGCTCCTAAAAAGTACTGACGTCCCTGCATATACCTGCCACCTGTGACCCGTGGTTGCTGGCCCACGCCCCAGAAACGGCAGTGTCTTCCTTCCCTGGTTCCTTAGGCACCTGGACTCCAAGCTCAACTCTGGGGTAGGGTGCTTGGTGGGAAAATGAAATAAGGAGGAAGGATGGAGAGGGGCCCCAACCCTGTACCCCAGACTCCAAAACCCTGAGCTTAGAGCCCCCGGTACCTAACATCAGACTGGCTCACCCGGTACTCAGCTTTCTCATTTCTCTCCTATATAAAAATGATCTTGTTTCAGTCCTTCCCACCTCCCACCCACGACTTCATCAAAGCCCATCAGGCAAAGAACACCGGAGTTTGTAGCTTTCCTAATTCTCCGCTATGGTGAACTCTCTAGAGGACTATATTGGGCGTTGCTTGACCCAGGTCTCTGAGACAAAGAGTACACACACACGCACACGCACACGCACACGCACACGCACACGCACACGCACACGCACACGCACACGCACACGCACACGCACACGCACACGCACACGCACACGCACACACACACACACACACACACACACACACACACACACGTCTCTATCTCTGAAGAAACTCAACACAGAAATCCACGCCAGACTGGGGGAAGGCTGCTGGCCGAACTGTGGGCTGAGAGGAGAGGAGGAGTGGCTCACAGGTACACACCTGTGAACCTAGAGTGGGAGTCAGGGGAGACAGTTTGACAAGCTGGGAGGAGAGCTGTCTGTCTCCCTGTCTGTTTGTCTTCCAAGGGGAAGCTGGGGGTGGAGCAGGCAAGGAGGTAGATGCTGCCTCCTTTGTCAGAATTAGCCAATTCCACAGTTGGGCAACACTCAGACACACAGTGAGTACAGACACACGCACGCACGTGCGTTCTGGCTGGACTGGCAGGGTCACACCTGTATGTACTTAGACTGCATGGTGACATGAGCACATAGGGATGCACACATGCCGGACACTAAACAGCATATGGAACAGACACACAGCCCCCAACTGCCCACAAACCAGACACCCATATAGCCTCACACCGGAGCTCTGCAGACACTAGAGCACACTGCCCAGCATGTGGGCATGTCACTCAGCCCCAGGGCGGGTGCGCCAGCCCTCTGGGTCTGTTCCAAGTTGGAACCTCTCACGTGAGGCCCAATGTGTCATTTTCAAACAGAAGGAATCTAGCTTCATCTCAGCAGGGAGGAAGAGCAGGGTGTGTGGCTGGGTGGGTGGGTGGGTGTGTGGGCATGTTCATGGGGGGAGGGCATATGTGCAAAGGAAGCAGACATGTGAATAACGGGGCATGTGTGTTGGGACATGGTGCGCACGAGTTGGGGGCTTTCCGGTTGGGGGCTTTCCGGTTGGGTGGGGGAAGGAGCCCGGGAAACAGAGTGTGCCTTTGTGAGGGTGTGTGTGTGTGTGTGTGCCGCCAGTCTGTGTGCAGTGGGTGTGGGTGTTTGTCTCCCTGTATCCGCCTTCTCTCTCCTCCTGGACTTTTAGCCTTCCTGGGCTCTCCTTCCTCATGTCCTGCCTCCTCCCTCTCAAGGCTCAAAGTGGATGCCCTTGTGGACAAGGGGGGCACACTCCAGGACTTAGTCCAACCCCAGATGCTGCCTGAGGCTTCCCTCCTGCTCCCTCTCCCTTTCTTTCCTCCCTTGCCTCCCTCCCTCTCTTTCCCTTCCTCCCTCCCCCCCAAGGCTGGCGTGCCAGGGGGTGGGACATGCCAATCACTGGCTGTGCCTCTCCCGCTGCCAGCACAGGGCGCAGCTCCCCCCCGGGAGCCAGGTGTTTGGGTCCCAGGAGACGCTGCAGGCCCCCCGGAAAAGCAGTGAAGCGGAGGACCCTACAGACCCCTCTCCGGTCCCATGGTGAGTACATTTGGAAAGGTTTGGGAGGGGCTGTGTTGAGCTGGGTGTAGAAGCAGCAGGGTCCTCTGGGACAGGGCAGGGACAAGGATGAGATGGAAATGGGGTGGACTCTTGAGAGGGGAGGTGGCCAGGGAGGGGTCTAGAGGCCAAGAGGGCTCTGTAGCAGTGGGTATTGGCTGCTCCAAACACTGCCTGCTGGTTTTCAGTGGATTCATCCTATGTTTTTCTGGGCTTCAGTTGGCGGAAGAGATGGAGACCCTCTTAGGAAACTCAAACTAGAGTTCGGAAGAGATTAGATGGTCATGTAGTTAGCAGATCCCCCAACACCCTAAAGCAGAAGGGGAGGGGCAGGAGGCAGCCCTTGCCACCAGCACCCCATTGAAGGATGACTCCATGTACATACTTTTGGGGACACCTCCTTCTCTCTTCCTTCAGGGCACCCTGAATCTCACCCCCCATTCACCTTCAGCCCCCCCCAAGATGGATTAAATGAGGCTGCTGGCCAGATAGACAAGCTAGATGCCAAGGTGGGTGTTGGGCCAGAAGCCAATAGGAGACCAGGCAAAGAGCCCCATTGCTCTTTGGAGACAAATAAGCACATGGACAGCCACATCATTCAGAGAATATGGTCCTGGCATGCAGGGGCCCCAGAGGTACCTCCCTGTCTTTTTAGTATCTTTGGCTCTTGCAAGGCAGGTCGCAGTCAATACAAGGGTCTCAGGCAATACAATGATACTAATGCGCACGTGTGTCCTCAGACTCCAGTAAGGATGAGTTGAAGCCAGGGGCTCTGATTCTTGCAGTTGCCGCTTCTAAGTCGGATGTCTGGAGAGGGGGGCAGTTGGCTCATGAAGACCTGTACACCTTAGGGGTGCTTAGTGCCAGTGGAGAGGGGTTCACTTCTTCCTACAGTGCACATCTGTCTGCAGCTCCACCCCATTGGCCCAGTGCCCCCTGTCTCACTGGCTGGAAGGACTCAGGCAGTCTCCAGGAGCCAACCAGTCTCCTGTCCCAGGGTAACCAGCTGCTCCATGAGCTGTCTAAGGAAGGATCGCTATCCCTAGACCTCAGCTACTAGGCAAACCATGATAGCTGCTGAGATACACAAGAGGAGGCGATGATGGAACAGGGTTACAGAGGGTATCATTCTTGATTTCCCTGCTGAGCTGGTGGCTGTGGCTTTAGTGGATCTTGACCACCAAAGCAATGGGAAGTCCTAAGTGTCCAGAAAGGTCTAGGCGGAGCTGTCCTAATGTACGGTCAGAGAGAATGAGGGTGAAAAAGGAGAAGGGAAAGGCTCGTGGCCATAGAAGGGAGACATAGCAGTCCCACTGGTACTTGAACCCATTCTCCTCACCCTCAACACAACACTGTGCTACCTCCTCTGTGAGCAGGAAGATGGGCTAGAATGGGGAAGGGAAGGGTGTAGTGAGCTTTGTGAGGAGGGAGCTTGGGCTCCCAAGCAGGCAAGCAGGGAAGAGGTGGGTGAATCGCTGAGTTTCTGCTCTGCTGTGATGCCATGGTGATGACTACAAGAATGGGGGAGGGAAAGAAAGAGAAGAAAGGAAAAGGGGGGAGTGCAAGGAGTGAGGATCTGGGGACATGCAGGGAGAGGGATGAGGGGGCCCAGCATCTCTGATGCTGCACTTGCAGAGCAAGGTCTAGGCTGAAGCCTGCTAACACCTAGGCTCTTCCCAGCCTGGTTAATGATGGTCAAATAGTCAAGGCCCATCACCAGTGAGCAAATTGGACCATGGTTCTAGGACGGATGCTCCTCTTTCAGATCAGCGGTGTATTTACAACGCATTTAACTGATGGCCACTGACCTCCACTAGGTTAGCTGGCACTCCCAGTAGTGGTTTGAGCACTAAAAAAAAGAGAGAAAGAGAGATTAATTCCACTTATTTACTTCATTGTTTCCAAGGCCAGGGGACCAGGGTGGAAGTTTTAAGAACCTTTAAGGAATCAAGAGCCACCTGAAGAGAAAGGTTAACCCAGGGTGAGCCACCCAGAAAGGCTGGCTTCTGGGCCTGGACCAGGACCTCCTCCTTACTTCCTACATATGTGAGGTCCTCTTTGAAGCCCATCTCCTCCCTAGTGTTATCTGTGCCCCAGCCAGGTGTTTTGACAGCTTCCAGCCCCAGAATAACAAGATGGCCCCACACCTCCTCCTTAAATCTTCACCAGCATGCTGCCATTCTCTGCCTCCCCTTCTCACTCCTTGACCAAGTTTAATGTTCAGGAATTCTTCTCTCCAGCCCTCTTCTCCTCCCACAGTGGCTTCTTCCCTTTGCCCTTCCTTTCACCAGCCAGATCCCCAGTCCCTAGGGATTGGTTCAGGGCGATGGCAGTCATCAGTCTGGCCTGCCTTGTGTTAGAGACTGACCTCATCTCTTAACTCTTGGATCCCACATTAACTTACACACACACACACACACACACACACACACACACACACACCACTACCACCCTCATTAACTCACACACACACACACACACACACACACACACACACACCCCACTACCACCCTCATTAACTTACACACACACACACACACACCCCACCACCACCACCACCACCACCACCACCAGCACCATCCCACATCTATCCCTGGACCTCACTTAGCCTCCCTTCGACTCTCAATAAGACTGGATTTTCTTAAACCATTGCACGAGGCTCTCTATTATTTTTTCTCCCATGCTCTCATGCCAGACAGTTTTTTACCCAAAAGAACAGAAGCCTGTTGGATAAGAGGTCATAAAAGCAGAGGGACCCCTAAACCCTTCTCTGGAGCTGCTCTTGATCCCCTCAGGCTCATTCTCAACCTCCAGAATCTGATGTCATTAAGGAGCCCAGCCCCCACCACCACCACCACTCCACATATACATTCATCTATTTCTTCACAAATACTTGTTGAGCAATTACTATGTCCCAAGTCCTGTGATAAAGCAGTAAATGAAGCAAGCAGAGCCCCTACCTTTCCTCTCCATCAGAGTCATTGCTAGATCTCCCCTACCCCCACACTGTCATTATTCATCACACAGATAAATGTCACATACATAGGCCAGATTCAAAATCCAGGACTGTTGGTTGATTCAAGCTAGGGTTTGGCCAACCTAGTGGAGATAGGTGGAGAAACTATAGCAAATCTCCTGCACACCCTATCAAGAACAGTTTAGAGTAGGGGCTCAGAGTCAGACAAGTGCATCACTGACAAGCTTTAAGGTCACCTCTTTTTGCAAATCAGAGATAATAGAATCTATTCTCAAGGAGTTATAACAAGTAAATTAAATTATGCATATAATGCGTAGAGCCATGTCTGGTATACTCAAGCAGCCAGTAAATATCAGTTGCTATGATAATAATAGTAATATTATTAAAGGCTCCCAACAGTCTTCATCAGGAGGCCACAGTCCTGGGCAGAAAAGCATTCTCCCCATTTCTTAACACCTTCTTGTGCCCAAAACATGAAAGGCTCCAAGATCCTGCCCATCCCCACAAAGCTATGGGCTCACCCCCACTATCCCCTAGCCTCATCCAGCAATACACACACCCTCACACACAAACACTCATATAGAAACTCAGCCCCATCCTACAAAAGGGCTCTCAGGTCAAGACCTGTCTAAAGTCAGTGAAACAAATGCTTGAAGCTAAGGATCATCGTAAGGGGTTTCTGCCTGACCCACCCTGCAATCCATATCCATCAGCTCTTTCCATTGATGTTTGTTTCTGTTTTGTTTAAGATTTGTTTTTTGTTTTTTGTTTTTTGGGTCAGCTCTTTCCATTGATGTTTGTTTCTGTTTTGTTTAAGATTTGTTTTTTGTTTTTTGGGTTTTTTTTTGCTGGGAGGTAGTGGCACAGGCCTTTAATCCCAGCACTCGGGAGGCAAAGGCAGGTGGATCTCTGTGAGTTGGAGGGCAACCTGGTCCACAGAATGAGTTCCAGGACAGCCAGGGCTACACAGAGAAACCCTGTCTCAGAAAAAAAAAATGTACTTATTTTTATTTTCCATGTATGGGTGTTTTGCCTGTATGTATGTCTGTTCATCACATTCCTGCCTAGTACCTGGAGGTCAGAAGATGGCATTGGATCCCCTAGGGACTGGTGTTACAGACTAGTCAGCCACCATGTGGGTGCTGGGACTTGAACCCCAGTCCTCTATAAGAACAGCCCATGCTCTTAACCACTGATCCATCTCTCCAGCCTGTCCATGAATGTGTTGACAAGATGTGCTCTGTGAATGTAGCATCAAGTTCCCCTTTCAACCAGAGAGCTAACACTGAGTCGCTAGTTCATAAAACTTCTGGAGCCACCACTGAACCCCAGCACCCTGTGTCTCAGCCCCTGGACAATTACAGTCACTGGTAGTAGTAATTCATAACTACCATCCTCCAGTATCCATCAACATATAGTGAGCCTCCCCCAGGCAAGAGTTAGAAGTGGCTCAGTGAGTAAACATGCTTGTCATGCAAGCATGAGGCCCTGAGTTCAAACCCCCAGGACTTACATAAAAGCAAACACATGTAACCCTGGGAGAGAGATACAGGAGAATCCCTGGAAGTTTACAGGCCAGTTAGCCTGGCATAGGCAGTGAGAAAACAACTCATCTTACACACACACACACAAGGCCAGACATGATGGTGCACGCCTATACTCCCAGAAGCTTGAAGCAAGAGAATTGCTGTGAGTTCAAGACCGTCTTAGGCTAAGTAGTGAGACCTCAAAGTAAATAACTTATAAGCACCTGTAGCAGGTGGCTCACAACCACCTGTAACTCCTATTCCAGGGGATCGGGTGCTCAACTTCTGGCTTCTACCAGCACCCACACATGTAGTTTGCACTCACACAGACAGAACACTTACAACACAATTTAAAAAAAAAAAAAGAAAAGAAAAGAAAGCAAACTGAAAAACCAGCTGAAAATGTAATTCCATTGGTAGTCTGTTCACCTAGCAAGCAAGAGCCCCTGCGTTCAGTCCTTAGCATCCCATAAATCAGG